AAATTTTTATATAATTTAACTAAATAAATCTTATTTAACAGACTCTCGATGCCAAAGACGATCTAGTTTTTGATGACAATTTACAACTTCCGGATGATATTAAAACAATAATTAATCATGATACCTTTTGGGATTCCCTTATGACATTACGAGATCTACTATACCCTTTTTGTATTGCTCTTAATCTCATGCAACGAAACAAAGCCCATCTTTATCATGTTTACATAGTTTCACTTTTTTTATGCAAGTATTTAAAAATCTTGATATTTCGCAATTTCGAACAAAAATGATTACGAGACTCGAAAGAAGATGGAGTACATGGGAACAACCAATTCTACTTCTTTCTTTTGTTCTTTATCCTTTATATAAGCTTAATTACTTTAATCAGTCTTTATCATATATTAATTATACGCATATGGGTGCGTGGTTATTATATTATTTTAAAGCATGGTTTGGTTCTGAACCTAATAAGTTATTATTTGAATTTGAATTATATAAGCAACAAAAATATCCTTTTATTGAAAAAACTTTCAAACAATTTAACAGTGATATCATTTTTTGGTGGTCATATAATTCCGGAATAGCACCAGAATTAAGTCGTGTAGTGTATCACTTATTTGGTATATGTGTTACAACAGCTTCAGTAGAAAGGCTTTTTTCTACTATGGGTTTTCTGCATTCACCATTGCGTAACAAACTAAAAGTAAGTTTGTCTTATATAAGTGCCGCAAAGAAAAAAGCTGGAATTTTTATTTATATAGTAAGAATTACAAAGTTTTTCCTTGCGGTACCCGTATTTGGTTTATATTTTTTAATGTATAAATTTTAAATTATCTTTCAATTATAGAATGAAAAAGTAATTGCGATGAGTCAACTTCGTGCAGAGATTTTGAGAACAAGAAAACCTAAAGAATCTAAATTTAATTACAATCAATCAAATTTATCTTCGTCATCTGATTTTTTATCAGCCTCATCTAATCAAAGTCAAACATTTGAATCAAATAATGAAGAAACAGACAGTGGCATTAATCTTAAAGAGGATAATAGTATTAATTCTGAAACTGATTGGGATTTTGTTGTTAATGAATGGGAGGAATTATTAAGTGATGAACAATTGGATGAAGAATCTGATAAAGAATCTGATGACGAGATAGATAATGAATTGGATTTTTATGATTCTGAAATTCATCTGGCAGAAAATCAATCAGCAAAATGGAAATTGGAAGATTTATTTTTATCTAATTTGCCACCTTTAGTTTCTGAATTATAATATTAGATATTGGATGAATTTATCAAGAACGGAGTTTTATTTAGTAAAAATAAAGATGATTATAACCATATTTAATGGTGTTTGTTGTGAAGGGGCAATTACCACCCTGGATGTTGCAGTTTCGAGGTGGTACACGAAAGAGAAAGTAAAGAACCGAATTAGCGTAACTCACCCTTATATATAGTAATTTCGCTGATAATTTCATGATCTATCACCATTAAATTATTAATTAACCGATCATTGAAGTTACCCGTAATCTCGTGATACATGACCCTGAGACAAGCAGTATACCTGGAATAGAGATAGTAAAGTTATTAGTATATTGAATTGATACATTTCAAACAAGGAATATAAACTAAAAGTAAAAAAAACACTTATTTAAGCCCCAGTATTGTTTTTACAAGGCCCAAGTGCCAAAAACTTGGACAAAATCTCACGTGCTCAGTAGTATCATATTTAAGTTTGTTCATTACTTTTATTGCTTTTTA